TAAAAACTCAAATCATATTTTCTTTTAATTTATCAATTTTAATGCTAAATAAAGTCTTGAAAAAAAGTCTTTTAATATAGTTGTTTAAATTCTTTCTTGCATGAAATGATACAATAATATCATTAAAATCAATTTTCTCTAGAATCCTATTTGATGGGTGTGGGTGTGGGTGGGTGTGGGGGTGGGGGTCGGTGTGGGTGTAGCGTGGTGGCTGGGTGTGCGTATGGGTGTAGATATTCCTTTCAACTAGACAGTCGCACCTGCACCCACACCCTCATCCACACAGTCACGCTCACGCTCACGCCCATGCCCACAGCCACATACCCAGACCCAGACCCACCCACACTCCACGCCCACAGCCACAGCCACGCCCACACCCCCACCCACCCACACCCCACACCCATAGAATCCGATAGACTTTTTGTACCCTCTTATTCTCAGCTGAGATTCCTTCGCTTGTGTGCCAGAGTGCAATTCTCTACATAGTATTTCAATTTTTCCCGAATCTTGAACCATTCCATCGAGAACGAACGAAAGAGGGCTTTGGTTGCGCATGGTAAATATAAAGCGTGTCGCTGCTTTTTCAAAATCACTATTGTCGGCCAAATCTGGCAAAACTATGCGAGCGAAATCATTTGCCGATGCATCATGCAGCTGAAGACTAGCTTTCGACTCCATGGTTGTTGTTAACTCAATATCAGAGAACAGAATGCTGGCTATGTCGGATTGCGTGTAATTTTTATCTTGGCCAAAAGTTAAAGAGGGATAGATGTCGTCCTGTGTTTGACACACACCTTGAAATTCTGTATCTTGAAAGTATAAATAAAGGGTAAAACTCTCTTCAGTGGCCTTCCCTTAAATTATCATCAATTTCGATTTCGAGACAACACATTATTTCCAAGAAAACCACGAAAAAATATAGTTTTATCTTCAACCCTGATTAAGCTCACACTGTGGGTGTGGGTGTGGGTGTGGATGGATTCAAAACACAACCACACCACCAGTGACACCCACACCCCCACTCACATCGACATCCACACCCACACCGAAAACCACACTCACACCCAACACCCACACCCCACAACGACACCCACACCCACACATCCTACACACCCACTCCCACACACCCTACACACCCACTCCCACACATCCTACACACCCACTCCCACACCCACCCACACCCACACCCGCACTCACACCCACACCCTCAAGATTGATCTTTCTGGGTCAACAATCTCGAATATGTTTGTATGTCCATTTATCTATCTGTTGTATTCGAATTTTTGTTTTTGTCTGATTGATAAGTTTGTATTGTTGTTAACGTTGATATTTATGTTTCAGCTGAATCAGTCGTTGTTTTGTTTATTGATTGTGATTGTTCATGCTTATCACTACGTAAATTCTTGATTAAACGTTGTAATTCATCATTTTTATAAATTTTATAAAAAGGACTGTAACCAATATTGAATACTACCCAATCAAAGGCATCTCTTTGAAAATCTTCTTGAACAGAAACAGGACAAACTTTAATTTTTTCGGAGATAGCAAATTGCCATTCACGTCGACAAAAATCTGATGTACAATATGCATTACTAAGAAGAACAAAAACAACTTTTGATTGTCGAATAGCACTTGTTATTGTATAAGCCATATCATCTTTCATATAACTTCTATCAACCCAAACATTTGTAAAAAGATTGGCTTGTTCTAATGTTTTAACAAATTCATCACATTGACGTTTATCACGATGACAATAGGAAATAAATGCTTGTCGTCCTGGTAGAAGATTTTGACGAATTTGTTCGATAATTTTTTTCATCATTGGATCACTAGCAAATAAACAACTGGCTTTAGTTGTTAAAAATTCGTTTAATTCGAAATTATTTCTTAAATCTTGTTTCATATCTTGTGATGAAGAAATTTTACGAAGAATCTTAAGTGCATTTAAATGACGCTCTTCTGCATAAGTAACTATTTTCGGTATATATGGAAGGGTTTGTTTTTTAACAAAATCGTGATCAAGAAGTCGAAGTAAATAACAAAGAAGTCGTTCAAATGATATTCCTTCATATTTTAAATTTCCTTGAACAAATGCACGATCAATAAACTCAAATATAAATTTAACTATATCTTCAGCTATATTCGCTTTTTTCTTTTGTAAATCTTGAAAATCTTGAAAATTCATTATTTTTGATAATGTGGACACAGCCATTAAACGAACATGATCATATTTTGCATCAATATAAGGAATTATTATTTGAGCTGTACCTAATTTTCCACCTAACAGTGTACTCGAACGCAAAAAATTAATAATTTGATTGGGTTCATCCGATGACAAAGAGTCGTTATTATTTTCATCGTCATCATCATTAAGATCTCTTGATGCATCACACCATTTATTAAGAAATACAAGTGCTACATCAACTAACGAAGTAATATCATTTGAATCTGATCGAATTGCTGTATCTCGAAAAATATTTGATCCTAGTAACCGAACAATTATTAAAGAAAATAGATCATTATTAAATGGATTTGCTTGTTGTGCATCATCATCATTTTTATTTACTAATGCTCTATTAATAATATGAATCCAATTTTCCGTAGGAACACAATTGGTAAGTAAGGCAAGAATACCACGAAGACAATAAAGAAATGATTTATTTCGTTCGAAATTTTTCTTATTTAACACAATTCGAATATATTTTGCGAGTAAACAAATATGTTTTTTGTTATCATCATTTTTTAAATATCCTCTATTTTCATCGAATGATGCAACAGCAAATGTACAACAACCAATAAAAAATCTATGACGATAACTGACATGCATATTTTTATTTGTATTGTTATTTGAGTTCATATTATATAAATAATTTTTAGCATGAAGATGAGTAAGGCATAAATTAAGTTCATTATTAAGATTTTTTGGAGGTGGATGAAGACCTCTGAAACATAATCCATACGCAAGTGATCGTGCATCAAGCATACGCATAAGATAAATTAGCATTTCATCTTCTTCAGTTGTATTATCATTAGATGGTTGTTCATCACGAACAAATATAACAGCTTGTTTTAAATCTTCAATTTGTTTTGTTCGAAATAAACATGTACGAAATAATTCAATAATATCTTTATTATTTATTATTAGTTGTGAATCAAAAACACAATATTCAACAAAACATAATTGAACTTTTGAATATAAATCAAGAAATTTTTTTTCTTCATTCAACAATTTATCCTTTGATATCCATTTTCTAATAATATCATTTATTTTTGAATCAAAACGACGATCTAATCTATTACCAATACTTAAATAGTCTTTCGATTTCTCAACTTCTTCTAATTGAGACAATAACGAATTTAAATTATTATTTGTCACTTCAATCTAAAAAAAATCTATGATTGGTAACTATTTGTAATCTTGTTACTAAAAACAATCGTTTCTTGTTGATCATGAAAAAAAAACTCTGTAACAAAATGCAAAACGTGGTTAAGAAACTGTTGCTGTTTTTTGTCTTCTTTTTTAGTTCTTTGAGAGTAAGTGTCTGAGAGACTCAGTCATCGACGATGCAGTGACATTTCAGAATTGACTGATTTTTTAATATGTTATAGAGGGCAGTGAGGGTGGGTAGGTGTAAGGTGTGGATGAGACTGTGGTTGTGGTTTGGGTGGGTGTGGTAGGAAATGAAAAGAAGATCCACACCCACACCCTCCAATGTAAAACTCATATAACTCTTGGAGTTTCTAATAGTAACAACTCCTATTTTAGTCTGCTAGGTTTCATATGTGCTAATATTAAGAACCAACGAAGATTTCTTTCAAAACGTTTCATCTAGTAATTCACAACAACTAAAGTGGACGGCAAAAGTTTAAGACATCTACTTTTTTATGTTTTTTTATAAAAAGAAAACCAGTTAATGTGAAACAAAAAATACAGTTTTGTTCAGTTTTCAATGCTCTTTCTAATGGTATATTTGAAAGCCAAAATCTATGAGAAAGTTTGTATTAATTAATTAATCAAATAAAATTATCAGTTATTAATATTAAATTATTAAAATTAACAATTAAGAAAAAAAATTATACCAAAATATAGCTCGTTCAATTCTGCATCTAATGGTATATTTTTTGAAGATTTTGCTCTGTTCTCAATAACGATAAAATCAACACAATACTAAAAGTGTCTTAAACTTTTGCCTATAGAGAAAAAATGTATTTTGCTCTATATCCTCAGCTAGCAACCAACTTGACCGAACATAAATGAACCATGCAGGTCTGAATTCTGACTATATATATATGTTGTAGGCAAAATTGAAATTTTAATTTTGCCCAGTCAAAATTAAAATTTCAATTTTGCCTAGACATTGCTTGGGCAGAATTGAAATTTCAATTTTTCCTAGGCAAAATTGAAATACAGCTAGGAATAAATTCATACAATCACGTTCTTTATCAAAAATAAAATAGACTAATATGGGTGAATAGATTAAAAGATTTTGTCGAAATGTATTCTCTTGGAATTGTTTAGTTGAATGAAGAAATATTTTTCAATAATAAAGTTTTTCTATTCAGATTTTAATTTTTTCATTGTATGAATTTATTCCTAGCTGCATTTTAATTTTGCCTAGGCAAAATTGAAGTTTTAATTCTGCCCAAGCAATGTCTAGTCAAAATTGAACTTTTAATTTTGACTGGGCGAAATTAAAATTTCAATTTTGCCTAGGCAAATTTAAAATTTGCCTGAATTTCAATTTTGCCTACAACATATATATATATAAAGATATTTATTCGTTCTTACCTTTTCAAAGAGAAAAAAAAAAAATAAAAAGTGTTTTATACTTTTTCTGTCTACTTTAGTTATAAGGGGTTAAGTATAATAATGAGGAGTTAAGTACAGAAATGAAGGATTATGCAAAAGAATAATGGGTTAAGTATAGGAATAAGAGGTTAAGTCGAGGGAGAGATAGCGAAAATTTCTTACTTCACTGGTGCTTCGCTGTACTTCAGCGTATTCCAAAGGTATACGAAAGCTATTTCAAGTCTACTATCAACGTGTGCCATGAGCAGATCACTTTGAGTTCATTCTATATAAATCTTTCCGATAATAAAGCTCCAACACTTCATCGTACTTCACTGATACTCAAATCTTGAGATGCGATGAAGTATTTGGGCTTTATTATCGGAAAAATTTATATAGAATGAACTCAAACTAATATGCTCGTGGCACACGTTGGCAGTACACTTGAAATATCTAAGAAGTTCTCGAGAATAGCTTTCGCATATCCTCGGAGTGTGCTAAAATACAGTGAAGTACAAACTTTTTACTATTTCCCCTTGCGTTAAGTATAGCAATAAGGGGTTATGTATAATAATACGAGGTTAAGTATAGAGATGAGGGATTAAGATATAGAAATAAGGGATTAGACATAGTAAAATAGGGTTAAGTATGGATATAAGCGATTAGGTATGTGAGTAAGGGTTGATATATAGTAATGAAGGCTCAGGAGTGAGTAGATAAGGCTAATGTTATTGAT